GGGGGGGCCCTCAGAGGAGTGGGTTGGGGGGGTCTTTCCCCACCCGTTTCCCGGCCCCCGAGGTGTCACCAGAAGCACCGGGGAGAAATTAAGAGAAATAGGGAAGAAAATGGGCTGAGTCTCCCAACGACCGCAGGGTTAAAGGGGGCTCCGGAGGCAGCTGGTGGGTGCTGGGATCCAGGAGACTTTTTCCCATTTCTAGGACATTTTTGCCATCCCAGGAATAAGCCGGGTGCCGGGAGGGGGGGGGGGGGGGGGGCCTGCCAAAGGACGTTCCCAAATTGCATCGTGCTGAGACGGAGGTTTTTTTAAAATTGGGCTAGTTCTCAGCGCTCGGGTTTTCTTTTTTTTTTTTTTTTTTTTCCTTGGGTGTTGCCCCTTGGGGAAAAGTCCTTATTTCGGGGGGGGGGAGGGAAGGGGGGGGCCGTCGAGCCGCCCTGAAGACGCTCTGCTCTAATTTTAGTTGCTTTTCTGCCTCCCGTTCCCCAGTCGATGATCGCACCGGGAAGGAAAGTCCGGAGATGGAGATGTGCTCTCGTGGGGGTTTGTCCCTTCTCCTGTCCCCCCCCCCGGCGCTGTCTGACCCCGATCCCCCTCCGGAGAGGGGACAGGAGAGGGGACAACACCAGGCTGTGCCCCCGGGGGGGGTCTCTGAGGGGCTGGAGCTGGAGGGGGGGCTGCCAGGGGTAGCTCAGAGCCATCTGGCGTCACTCCCCGTCTCCCCAGGGACATGTTTCCCCCCCCCAGGATGTGACACCGGGCTCCTCCGGTCCTTCGTGTGGTGCTTTCCAAAATTAAAAGGATTTGGGGAACAGAGGACATGCAGAAGCCTCTTCCAGACGAAGGTTAATTACGGGCCCTCGTTACTGCAGAGCCGGAGGTTGATGTGAGCTCAGGGTACTTCGTTTTTTGGTTTTTTTAATTTGCAATTTTTGAAATTGCAGTTCCCACTTGGCGAAGGCCTCGCTGTCCCCAAAATTAAGGAAAAATTAAGGCTCCCGGACCCCCCCCCCCCCCCC